TTTGGTGGGAAAACAGGCTAGACAACCCGTGTCTCACACAGAGCTTGAGCATAGGGTAAACCTGTGGGGACAGTGTACAGAAGCACCTCTTCACCCCTGGAAGTCTGTTTTCAGATCCTGACCTGAAGTTTTGTTTTCTGAAAGGCAAGAGGCACACATAAATAAGTAAGCTATACTGGTCCAGGCGTGGTCTTGCCCATTCCTGACCTGTCATTGCCTAGCTCCAGTCTCTCCTTAAAAGACAGTCTGGTAAGTTGTCAGATCTGTGTGAAGTCTCTTGGCAGAGACACATTTTTTCTCTTTGTCACCAAGCTTCCATCTGTTCCCTCAACACAAAGCTTCCTGGGGAAACGCTAATTGAATGGAGGTGCCTGAGTGACCCCATAAATAAATGGGAGAGATTGCAAAAGGCATCTGATGGCAGCTTTGGGTGTCCACATACATGCATGTGCACCCACATACATGCAAACATGCACAGCACCCATACACGCTTGTTTTTAAAATACCATAAGGAAGACTTGATCAAATTCAGAGTCTCTCTTGAAACCCTGCAAAGCCACAAGCTAATTTGTCAAAGGAACAAAAACACACTAAGTGTCCAGTCCATCCGGACACGAGTAGACAGGAAAAGGAAGCGTTATTCATTGAATAATTTAAGTCTTTATATATAGCCTGGTTTTCTACTTTAATTATTTAAATAAATTCTCATGTAAGAATTATGATTTCATATGGTAGAGAGATTGTCTTAGTTCCTTTTTAATCAGTGAACATTGTAAATATATGCTATTTACAGGAGTCGAGGCACAACTTAACTATTTATATAGGAATTTGTAATTACTATAATTTTCTCCTAAGACGTGTGATTGGTATAATTTATGTGATATAGAATGCTGACTGGAAAACATCAGTTACCTTATTCTATAAGAGAATCTGAGAGTCAGGAGAGATGGCTCAGCAGTTAAGAGCACGGGCTGCTCTCCCAGAGTACCCAGGTTCAATGCCCAGCACCCACACAGCAGCTCACAACTGTCTGTAACGCCAAGATCTGACACCCTCACCCAGACATACATACAGGCAAGACACCAATGCAAATAAAAAAAAGTAAACCTTAAAAATTATAAAAATAATAATAAAAAGAGAATCCGGGTTGCTGACCCGTCGTTACTTTCTGGTATAATTTCTGGTTGATTTCTGGTTAAGCGTGAATAAAAAGTACAATTCATATCTGTCCTTTATTTTAAAATCTGGCTTCCTGGGCAGGTGAGATGGCTCAGCAGGTAAAAGACAATTGTCCCCAAACCTAACAACCTAAGTTTCATCCCCAGAACCCACATGTTAGAAGGAAGAACTGACTCCTGAAAACTGTCCTCCAATCTCTATGTTCATGCCGTGTGTGGTATATGCGCATGCGCATGTATGTGCACATGCGATACACACACGTACAAATAAACAGATAACAATTAATAAAAATTTACGACCATTTGTTCTCACCAGATTAGTGGCACCTGCTTCTGAAGCAGTTGGGTGCTCAGGTAAAAGGTCAGGGTTGAGCCCAGGTCTCAGGGTCTCTCGCCTGCAGCCCATTATCCTGTGTTGGAATCTCCTCTGGTCTGAGCATCACCTGGGGGTCTCTTAAGAAGAGAATGAACCCTGAGATTCCATCATTTCTCATGGCTTCTGCAGGTTCAGAGAGGGTAGAGAGCTTCAGAGGAGCCACAGAACACTCTTGTTCTGTGGATGTCTCTTCTGTCTCTGCAGCCCAGGGCAACGTCAGCCCTGCCACACAAGTTGCTGAGTCATCACGCTATGGATTTACCAGGGCCATTAGTCTTTGGCAAGAACCTTAACTGATGGGCCTGCCAGGTCCCAGGAGAGCCGGGCTTCTGTGTAACAGCCTGACTGAAAACTGTTCAGGAGCCTCAAAATCTGACTCCACACCACACCACAGGTGCTGTTCTGATCTCAGGACCAACACTGGGCAGTTCCACCAGTGTCCCTGGTTCCACGAGATCTCCTTGCTGCAGCCAGAGGTCCCTGTTAGGCTTGCTTTGCCCTAATGACATTCTCATCTCGGAAGCTTCTAGTATAGAAACCTCTGAACATGGGTGGTCAGTCTGCCTCCATCTTTGGCAAAGAGCAGGCCACAATATGCCTCTTTCACCGCCCTTTCCTGGTTCTGTATCTGCCTGAGGTCCTGGTCAAGCCTTAGCCATTTGTAGCCCTTAACCCTCTGAAGACCTTGTCATAAATGCTAACTGGAGACAATTCCATCAGCTTCCAGACAGTGACTGTTAAATCTTGGCACTCTTTCTCTTGAGTGTTGTGGCTCCAAGTCACTTAGCAAGTTTAGCATTGAACTTGGAAAAGCTCTGTCATACACCTACTATGTACGTCCTGCTGGGACAGGGTGGGTCAGGGAGCTGGTAAAAACAAGATGGCATGTGTGCCCTTGACATTAAGACCACCTCTACCATCTCAGCCCAATGAACCCCCCCTCAATGGCGGGCAAGTTGGCCACCACCCACTATCCTAGCCATCACCAACTCAAGCATTTGCTGAGTCTCCTGGAACACTGCTCAGCACGTGTGCCAATTCTGTGGGTAGATAAATCGTTCATTTAAATGAAAGCAACAAACCATAGGTCACCCAGCAAATAAGCAGCAAAACCAAGTTGGAAATGGGTTCTGTAGGTTCCCAAATGCAAGCTCCCTCCCCTCAACATGTCCTCATCCTCAGAGGCATCTGCCTCCTGTCCCCTCACTGGTCATTTCTCTCTCCCCAGTGATACTCTGAACATTGTGGCATCTGATCACCGGCCATTCACCACAAAGCAGAAAGCCATGGGCAAGGAAGACTTCACTAAGATCCCACACGGTGTGAGCGGTGTACAGGATCGAATGAGCGTCGTCTGGGAGAGGGGAGTGGTAGGTCTGCAGTGTTGCCTATGCAAGAACTCAGCAAATCCTGTGCTTAGGAGGTGCATTAGGGTTCTGTGGTGGGACAGAACTGATCGAATGGACATGTAGAAAGGGGATCCCTAAGAGTGGCTGATAGGCTGATCAGACAATCTCTGTCTCTCCCAAAAGAAAGTCCAAGAATCCAATAGTAGTTCAGTCCGTGAGAGTAGATGTCTGAGCTGGTCTTTAGTTTATGTTGGAATCCCAAAGAAATAGGCTTTAATATCAGTGAAGGAATACTTCAGCAACAGTGTATATGAACTTGCCAGGGAAAGTGAGGACAAGCAGAGAGCAAAAGCTTCCTTTTGTGTCACACACACACACACACACACAAACACACACACACACACACGCTTCATGCATGTTAGGTTGGAAGACTCATCTTAAGTCTGGATCCTTTGTGGTTGGAAGGTCCATCCTAAATCCGAGCCACACTTTCTGGTAGCAGTATATATTTAGTATACACACACACATATTATACACACATTATACACACACACACATATTATACACACACACATATTACACACACACACAGTCTTCCAACCTTGTATGATCTAGTTAAGAAAAATCCCTCACCGCTGCTTGGGTTTTAGTTCATTCCAGTCCAGTTGACAAACAAGAATAGCCATTGCAGCCATTGCAAGAGAGCTGACCCAATCACAGTTCCTGTTTTAGGCAAAAGGTCAGTAGTGTCAGAGGTCACACTTAGCTAGCACAGCATCACCTCACACATACATGGGGAGAAAGGCTGATTCCATAATATTACCTGTTATTGGAATGCTAAAAGTTCAGAAAAAAAATAAGAAAAAAACCTTACAATTTGGTCCCTAGAAATTCAGCATTCTGGTATATGCCTTCCTGGTTCAGTGTATGAAGACATGTTAGGCCTTGAATGTTCAGTGGTCTTCCTGCTTCATCCTCCCGAGGGCCAGGGTTTTTGGGTGTAAGGTGTAAGCCACTGTGCCTGGCTGCCATACATTATTTTAGTGACTAGAATCTTGTTTTTTTTCTTCATAATTTAAGTCATTTTGAGTGTCTTCTTAGAGCACTAAAAAGTTGTGATCTTTTTAAAACACAGTGTTTGATACGTGCGATCTAGCCCAGCCTTCATCCATGCTAGGCTGGGGTGCCGCCTCTGCCTACGTCCCTAGTCTCAAATGTCTTCTTTTAATTGCTACGTAATGTTCCCTCCAGTGGAATTGCTATATTTAGTTATTCCTTTGAAACTCTTGGCTATTTCCAGTTTTCACACTTCAGATGATGCTGTGAAGAAGTCCTTGTTTAAGAATGTCACCATTTCTAATTACTTCCTTAGAACAGATTTCTAGAAGGGGATTTTTGGGTCAAGAGATATGAATATAATATGCTGGGTATATTTTATCTAATTGAATTTCAAAAAAGAGAGGGGCTGGGATTTCATTTGAATACCACCTGTTCTGCCCATGAAGAGTAGGGGGTTTTTGTTGTTTGCTTTTTGTTCTGTTTTGTTTTGGTCTTGATCTATCATGGAATACACGGAGCACTCAGTACAATTGCAGAGACTTGAAGTACTGAAAACTAAGCCACCTGCTCAGGGAGAGGCCAAGAGGTAGCTCAGGACATGTCCCTTGAGAAAGGGACACAGCTGCCTGGCACAGTACAGGTAGCTCTTTCAGAACACAGAATATACAGTAGTGTTTCCCATCTATCCACAGTTTCAGGTGGTCCACAGTCCACAAAATATTAAATGGAAAACTCTAAATATCATTCATACATTTGGAGAAGTTGTTTGTTTTTTTTTAAGGTGGGTTTCACGCCATGGGCTGGCCATGGAATCCAGGACTTAAACTCAACAGTCATACCTCAGCTCCCCAGAGCTAAGATTACAGGCATGAGCGACCAAGCCTTATACTGTATTAAATAAGTTTGTTAAGTTATTCTGTTGTATTAGATGTTGTTAGCCTCCTGCTGTACGAGTTAACTTGGTGATAGGTGTGCACTTATAGGGAACAAGCGTAGTGTGTATAGAGCTCAGCTCTCTGTGGTTCCAGGCATCCTGTGGGAGCCTGGGAAGAAATCCAACAAACAAGGGGATGTACACTCTTGCACATGAAGGGCAGCCTCTTAGTCATCCCACGTGGGCGCACAAGTGGAGCTGCTCTTAAGAGGTGCTTTTGCCCCAGGCAGGCAGCCTTTGGCACAAGTCACCAGGGTGGCTGGCTGGCTGGGGAAGAAAGGAGCAAGCAGGTTTCCAAGCTCTGCCAGTCAACTCACATGAGACGAGACAGTGAGCATAGCACTGCTCACCTTAGGACCACAGATGCGACCCTCTGAGATAAAAGAGCACAGGCTGGGTTGCAGGTGCCTGGAGAAGCCACACACTCAGAGCCGTACTGATCCGGTACTTCTGCCACATTCCAGGTTGGAGGAAAGATGGATGAGAACCGTTTTGTAGCCGTCACCAGTTCTAACGCAGCCAAGATTCTCAACCTGTATCCTCGCAAGGGCCGCATCATCCCGGGAGCTGATGCTGATGTGGTAGTGTGGGATCCAGAAGCCACCAGGTAAAGCTTGCCACTAGTCTCCTGGGATTAGGGGGATTTGGGGTTTTGAAGAACTTGTATTTACAGAACTGCAAAGATGAATAACCTTTGCCCCACTTCAAATTTAGAGAAAAGTGGTAGTGGCATGTAGATGACCATGTTCTTCTCATGCTCATGTGGTCTGTCCATCCCTGTGCATACCCATGTCCAATGTCCCTGTCCCTTCTTCTAAGGACAGCAGTTAGACGGGGGAAATACATACTTATATAACCTCCTTTCGCATTAATTCTCTAAAGGCTTTATGTCCAAATATGGCCCCATATTTGAGATGCTGAGATGCTCAGGGTAAAGATTTCGACACAAGGGTTTTCAGGGGATGGATTGAGCCCATATCAGACAGCTCTGGGTACCACTCCTTCCTGTTGGGCAGCACCTCTCCGTCATGATGTGCTGTCTTTACATGTGCTCAGAAGATCTTGTTCTACCCTCATTCCCACCAGGACCATCTCAGCCAGCACCCAGGTGCAGGGTGGAGACTTCAATCTGTATGAGAACATGCGCTGTCACGGTGTACCACTGGTCACCATCAGCCGGGGACGTGTCGTGTATGAGAATGGTGTCTTCATGTGTGCGGAGGGCACCGGCAAGTTCTGTCCCCTGCGGTCTTTCCCAGACATTGTCTATAAGAAGCTGGTACAGAGAGAGAAGGTAAGGGGGTTAGGAAGGAAGATGTGTGGGAGGAGGTCAAGGCCCTTGTTGGGAGGCATCTTCACTCCCCCACTTTAACTCTCAGACATTGTCATCTTGTATATTATTTTTGCATCAATATGACCAGGATACCTTAAGAGGGGAAAAGTTTCAGAAACTTTAAAGTGACAGGGCAGCTCATGATGATGGAAGTATGTGGAGTGACTGTTCACATGCACCAGATGGGGAAGAAGCCAGAAGCCAGAACGAGAGGCCAGCCATGCCCCGTCTAAGATTCCAGGGCCCCAGCCAGGGAATAAGCATTCAAAATATGAGCCTATGGGGAGACATTTCAGATTCAAGCCATAACACACAGTTTCCTATGGATGCTCTCTATTACCCTCTAGCAGAAGAGTGTGAGGCAGGGACAGTAGGGAAGGTGGAACTGGAAAATGCTGGTTTCCACTTCTCATTTTGTATACATCTATGATGGTGGTGGTGGTGGTGGTGGTGTGTGTGTGCGTGCGCGCGTGCGTGTGCGCGCGCACGCACACACACACATCTGAGTAAGGGTGTTCATAGAAACCAGAAATTTCAGATGCCTCTGGAGCTAGAGTTATAGGTGGTTGTGAGCCACTTCACGTGGGTACTGGGTACTGGACTCAGGGCCTCTCTCTGCAAGAGCAGTCCACGCTTTCAACCTCTGAGCCATCTCTACAGTCTCAATATATAAAGTTTAAGTGTGCAAGCAGATAGGAAACCTGGGGAGTGTGTCTGTGACCAGTGAGGTCCTCCTGATACATAGGCCTATTGCTCAGTTCCTTTCCATCTTGCTAATGCCAAGGGGCCTCCATGCCTGTTGTTTCTCTCAAAAAGACTGTAGGCAGACAGCATGCAACATTGTAATTGAGATTCCATCCCAAAGGATACAGTTCTCAATGCTGCTGCTGCTACTCCCTCAGCCTCCTGCACATGCTCCAACACACTTCCCCCTCCCCTCACAGTAGCACTTTTAATTGCCATAACTGACTAAGGCCAGGACAGCTCTAAGCGACAGAGCAGAGGTTGGAACCTTGGCACTCTGGTTTGTGCGGTATAACTCTTAGCCCTTTAGTATTGCTTCTGGCAGTGGCCCATGTCCAAATAAAGTATATCTAGCCTAAGTTTTCCCTGGGTTGTCAGACCACAGGAAAAGGTCTGACCTGATGGGATCCTGGCAATTGTCAGGACACCATTATATGTATCAGGATGCTCACCATGGAGAAGTTCTTCAACCATTACCCTGCCAAACTTCCCTGGAAGGATTCCACCCATGTCGGGGCCGAGACCAAGGCACTTCCTGCATATGGGCACTTACACATGCATGCACATGCTAAGCTTACGTAGAATCGAGAAAGGCATTCTTCAGTGCTTGGACTATGGAAACAAGAAGCCTGTGTGTCTTGGGTCCTGTGCAGAGTGGCTGCTATCGGCGGAGGATGCTTCAGCTGTGCGCTTAGCTCTGACAAGCCTGTCTTTTCTCTTCACTAGACCTTAAAAGTGAGGGGAGTGGACCGCACTCCCTACCTAGGAGATGTCGCTGTTGTTGTCCACCCTGGGAAAAAGGAGATGGGAACACCACTGGCAGACACGCCCACACGGCCAGTCACCCGGCACGGGGGCATGAGGGACCTTCATGAATCCAGTTTCAGCCTCTCTGGTAAGGGTGAGGGTGTGGTGGGAGCTGGCAGACAGGATAAAGGCCCAGGCGGTGGACTACAGCCTACAGGTCCTTTGTAGTGCTGCGAGACCCACTGTGCGTGAGATGCACAGTGTGTGCTGTTAGAGACATACAGGCTGAAGGGCTTGGGAGAGCCAGGCTTGCTCACCAGCCGCTAGACAGGCCACAGGCCATTAGACACTCTCCCTGGTGATGTTTTTGTCCCTTGAAACCCCTTGAGAACATTGCACACAGGGTATCCCACAGATGTCCAGGGCTCAGAAGGACAGCCCTCCCTGCTGTCATTGTCCCCTCCCTTCCCAGCCTCACTGAAGCCCGTCACCCTCATTCCTTATTTCTACCCTCCAACCTTCACACATCACCTGCATCTTTTCTCCGCTTTCTCTTTTTGTTTTTTTTTTTTTAAGCAGGAATTTTATGATAAGCATTTCAATGACTTGAAGTAAAATGTTTCTTTCTTTTAGCTCTGACCCCCAGTTTCTCTCCCCATCTCCGTGCCTGGGCTCTTGTCTATCTACAGAATGCCTAGGTCTCTCTGTCATGTCCTGAACCTGGGTTTATTTTTGGGTTTTTTGTTTTTTGGTTTGTTGGGTTTTTTTTTGTTTTGGTTTGGTTTTTTGGTTTTTTCAAGACAGGGTTTCTCTGTATAGTCCTGGCTGTCCTGGAACTCACTCTGTAGACCAGTCTGGTCTCCAACTCAGAAATCCGCCTGCCTCTGCCTCCCAAGTGCTGGGATTAAAGGCGTGCGCCACCACCGCCCGGCCTGACCCTGTTTTTAATATCATGCCCTCCCAGTGACTGTAACACTAAGCCTGTGTCCCTTTAGACGTTGCCTGTCTATGCAACTATACCTCACATACCTCACATGTCCCTGGTGGGGAACATTGCCTCATAAATGGAGAGCAGACAGATGCCATGAGGTCTGTTAGTCCTTCACGAAGCTTTGCTGGGAACCATCTTGGAAGGGCAGTGGCCCAGCCTCCCTGACCCCAGGACTATCCAGAGAGAATCTACTCTGCAAGGCCTGTCTCTACTTGGGAAAAAAAAAGGCAGGATGAACAAGAGCATAGATTCCTAAGGGATAGAGAATGAGGACCACACACAAACCATACCGGGATGAGAGGCGGAGAACCCACCTCTGAAGCCCCGCCTACTGAGGTCCTGCCTACTGAGGTCCCTATATTCCCAGCTTTGTGCTGACAGCAGCTTGTGCCAGGGACCTGTGGTTTCCACTGGAGGTGCTGGTGGCCTGTGGAGAGGAGTCCTCCAAAACATGCTCCCAAAGGGCTAGTCCCATGAGTAGTGGGACGTAACTGCTGGGTGGTGTTTCTGGAGCACTGTCCAAACACACTGAAGCTTTGCCAGTCTGGGCTGTGGATTCCTAGGACCTGAGCACACAGCCTGCAAAAGCTGACCCCCACGAGAAATGATGAGACCCTGGAGCTATGGGCCCTAACTAGCCAGTGGCCTCTTCGTCCCCAATACAAGAGCCATGACTTGATAGTGGCTCCTTCAGACACAGCAGACCTCAAGTTGTCTGCCCCAAATCTTACTCTGTTGACAATGGGGGACACTGGTGATATCCCACTTGGATCTCTGGGACACTAAACCCTCCCTTCTTAGTCTTAGAATCCCAAGGTGTGAGCCTTTGGTTATATGGGTCTTTCACTTTCTAAAACAGTTACTGGTTTCTTGTTTTATTCTCGGGTCTACTCACTGAGACCTGTGTCTGAAGGTCTGTGTGATAACTGGCTAGTCCCTTGGTCTGATAGTACAAGAGAGACTGAATATGCTATCCATGTGAGTGAGTGAGGAGGCTCGTAACATTGACTCAGAGTCAGAAAACCAGGGTTCAAACCCAGGCTCTTCAAAGCCTTTATACTGTAAAACGTGGAAACCATATAATATCCCAAATCCCTGGTTTTCTCATCCAGATAATGGAATAGAGGCATAAGGATTACACCTGGGATTGGGGTAATGGCTCAGTCAGTAAAGCACTTGCCTTGCAAGCCCTGAGTTCATGGGCTGGAGAGATGGCTCAGCAGTAAGAGCATGTACTGCTCATCCAGAGGACCTGGGTTCAGTCCCCAGTTTCCCAGCATTCACTGCCTAGCATCTAGAAGCTCCAGGGAATCCAACAGCTCCTTGGGCACATGCATAGCTCCAGGCTTGTTTTAAAATAGGTGGGCAGCATCCTCTGGCCTCCACGTACACATTAAGGGAGAGGAGAAAGAACATAGTCCCAGAAGGTTTAACTCAGCCCTGGGGCCCAGGTGCCAGGGGCCTTTTAGCCCAGGCAGCATCGGCCTGATTGACCCTCCCTGCTTCCTTCCTGCAGGTTCTCAGATTGATGACCACGTTCCAAAGCGGGCCTCAGCTCGGATCCTTGCGCCCCCTGGAGGCAGGTCGAGCGGTATTTGGTAAAGGCTCTGACCAGACCCCCCCAACAAGTGAGGATGCTCCACCACCACCTGCCTGCACACTTTCCGGCCACAGCTGCAGTGGGTGGGAGAGGTTGGGCAGGGCAGCGCACCACCAGTGGGGGCTCCAGGAACCTGGGAGCTCTCTCCTTGTCTGAACATGATTCACGGGGCTTTGATCCAGCCCTAATAAGGCACTTTGAGCTGTCCCTCCTGCCCTGCTCCTTCCTTCCTTGGCCCTGGGGTTTCTCTGGGCCCCAGAAGCCCACACTATGCACAGCACCCAATGCATAGCACCTGGCCCTACCCCTCCTCTCACCGTGACCTCCTGTGCTGGCTCTGGGAAGGCCCAAACTTTAGTGCTCTGCCCTGCTGCCCACCCAGACAAGTGTCCAGAGCACTTTAGCAGATGTGTTTTATAAGTAAGGGCCTTCCCCCTTCACCCCTTAGGCCCCATGGTGACATTTTCCCAAGTCAGACAGAGTGTCAACTCCCCAGCCATGCCCAAGGTGTCCCATCTCTCCTGACTCACCCCAGCTATACTCGTGTGGGTGTAGTCAGGACACACCGGGTGTGGCTGTGCTTGGGACACCCTGTGCCCTTTGCTAGCCTCATTCATTGCCTGCCCTTACCCTCTGGGAGTCCCTGCCCCCAGAAGGGTAGCTGGGTGGGCATGCGGCTGGTGCCAGGCGCGTGTAAATGGTTTTGTTTTGCACGTTTGGTTTGCGCAGTGGTTTGGTTTGACTTGTTTGTGCACCCTGTGGAAAATAATGGTGCTTCGTGTCACTAGCATAGCATAGAATTGGGAATAGATTTGGTTAGTAAGAGATGCTGCACTCACCACCAACCAGACAGTACGGGGCAGAGGCGGGAGCAGGCTGGCCCCCTGGCCCCTTCCTCCCAACCCAGGGTCCTTTTGCTTCCAGAAGCCCTGTACCATGCCTCCCCTATCCCATACCTCCTGCCACCTCCTCCTACTTCCCTACATGCAAACGATCCTGGATGCTGACCCTGGAAACCTTCAGGCAGCATCCCTGCTCCGTGTTACTCCCAGCACTAACCCCATATCCACTCCCTCATACCCCAACACAGCTTCCTGTAACTTGCCACTGCTGGGCAAGGCCTAGCTACTCCTCTATGTGACTAGTAAGAGTCCTCATACCTGCTGAGAAAGGGGAAGTAGGAGAGGGTTGGCTAGCCAACCACCAAGGGAGGGGCTTCAACACACAAGGCTTAGTTAGCTATAGAATCCGCTCCACTGCACAAGTGCTGTAGGATACTGCACTCAGCACCACGCTCTTGTAGACTGCTGGTTGGCCCTGCCCTGTCTCTGAAGCACCTCGGAGGTTCTCATAGGTGGCTACACAGTCTGGGAGGTGGCTCAGCTGTCTGCCTTTGATAAGCCTCATCCCTGCCCTTCTTTGGCAAGTGATCTCACTTTTGTTAGAGCTCCACAAACTTGTCAGAGGCCCCAGGGAGCCTGTCAGTCACCCTCCTGCACGTTTTTGTCCTGCTTTGGGTACGTCAAAGCACTCCTGTGTGTCAGCTCTTGACAGGGAAACTCCGAGGGGCTTCTAAGACAGGGCGGGGCTTGCCACTCTACCCCATCTCACAGATAAAAACTGAGGCCCCAAGAGTTTAGGCCTCAGAAGTGTTGTGACTGCTATTATGGCCTTGGCTGTTTAACCTAGCTGTGGGAAATAGTTGTGGATTGATGTCAGGCCCACCAGGAGTTTAACCAGATACAATGCTTTCTTCCTGGGGGCATGTTTTCTGCCTTGCTTTGCACAAGCTGATTTTATTTTTGTCATGAACTGACTAAAGTATTCTCTTGGTTTGAGCCTGAACTAGAAAAGTGTTGGGAACTTGTGTGTGGTTTCAGCTGCGCCCAGTGTCCTCACTTAGGAGCTGAAGGGACAGATAACCCAGAGGACTGAGGTAGCCCTGATAACAGTAGGTAATGACCCTAGAGAAGCCTTCACAAGTAACATAAACACTGACGCTGACCCCTGGTACAGTGTCTGTCTCTCTCTTTCCCACTCCCACTCACCTCTTCTTCCTCTTCTTCTTCCTCTTCTTCTTCCTCCTCCTCCTCTTCCTCCTCCCTCTCTTCCTTCTCCTTCTCCTTTTTCTTCTTGAGACAAAGTCTTGCCTAGGTAGTCTGGCCTTGAACTCACAGAAATCCTGCCTTCATTTCCCCAAGTACTGAAATTATACACATAAACTACCACACCTAGCTATATGTCATCTTTGTCTATTTCTGCCCTTGCTGGGTCATGGGCCTTGGGCAGATGCCAAAGATCTAAGGGGTGGTAGGGCCAGCTAGACAGGCCACCTGGCATGGGCCAGGAGTGCTTTACCCTTTCCGAGCACCTCCACCTGAGAAGTGTATGACCTGAAGTGGTAGGAGAGTACACGTTCAAGGGGCCACTGTGGGCCTTCTACTTCATCCACCCCACCCTTCTACAACCCAAGGCCACCCTTCATAGACTGTGTGCTCAGCCAGGAGCTTCTAGATGGGAGGCTTAAAGAGCCAAGCAAACCATCATCCCCCAGTGTCCACTCCCTGCCCCATGCAGAGCTCCAGCCACCCCATCCCATGGCTGCTGGCTGGAGCGAAAGGGGTCTCTGGTTGCACCGAATGCAGCTCTCAAACTGGTCTGTACTTGCTGAATAAACACTGTTGTTCTTGCCTTAGCTGCTCTCTAGGTTTGTGGGGTTAACTTTCCAGAAAATTGTGCTACTGTGTGTGTGTGTGCGCGTGTGTGTAGTGCTAGGAGTCCACAGTAGGTCGCTTGTCAAGCCAATGCCATGATGAGGGCATCTCTTATATTGACCCAAAAACCACAGAACCACACAGAAGCCAAACTCCTTCCAGCTGCTGAGGTGGCAGGCACAGCCTGGGGTCAGAAAGGAGCTGTCAGCACCCCAGCACTCAAGTGACTTCCTCACTCCTCTGTAAATGTCATGGTGCTAAGGTTGTGTCAATCCCGAGATGACACATGGCCCTGTGCTTTGGCCACCGTTTGAGGCAAAACAAAACAGCCCAACACATTGTGTTCTGGTGCAGGTTTGTATTAAACTGTAGCTACTTCTCACTTGGCCTCCGTTGTGTTTTTTCAAGAAGATGTAACCTGGCAGAAAGCCTCCTCTGCAGCAGTTATGTGTCGCTTCAGTTGCTAGGACAACAGCTTTGATCCATCACTCTGATCCTGTGACAGCTCACCGGGAGGCCTGGGCAAGGTCTGGAGATACAAAAATAAAAAGATTAAAAATAAACATTCATGTTAAAGTCATCCCTCTCCCGAAAGCCCAGGATTTCTAATAGTGGAGAAGAAAATTTTCAACCAGATATCTTGGGACAGTTAGCATGTTATCTGAAATAGGAAAAATCAGAGGAGGCATTAGAAACAAAAAGAGAAGGATCTAGACCCCCTTCTTGTTTAGGGTTTCATTGCTGTGAAGAGACACCATGACCAAGACAACTCTATAAAGGCAAGCATTTAATTTGAGTCAGGTTTACAGTTTCAGGGGTTTAGTCCATTATCATGGTGGGAAGTGGCAGCACCCAGGCAGACATGGTGCTGGCGAAGGATCGGAGAGTTTTTTAAGATTGATTTATTTATTATGTATACAGTGTTATGCCTACATATATGCATGCCTTCATGCCAGAAGAGGGCGCCAGATCTCACCGTAGATGGTTGTCAGCCACCAAGTGGTTGCTGGGAATTAATCTCAGGACCTCTGGAAGAGCAGTCAGTGCTCTTAACCTCTGAGCCATCTCTCCAGCCCCAAGTTCAACATCTTAATCTGCATGCAGGAAGGAGGAGACTGGGTGTGTTTCACACTCAGCTTAATTACCTTGAGGATTAAGACCTCAAAGCCCCATCTCCTCAGTGACACACTTCCTCCAACAAGGCCACACCTCCTAATAGTGCCACTCTATACGGCCAAGCATTCAAACACAAGAATCTATGGGGACCAAACCTATTCAAACCACTACTTTCCACTCCCCGACTCCCATAAGCTTATAGCCATAACATAATGCAAAATGCATTTAGTCCAACTTCAAAAGTCCCCATAGTCTATGACAGACTCAACAGTCTTTAAAAGTTCAAGATCTTTTCGGAGACTCATGCACTCTCTTAACTATAATCCCCTATAAAATAAAAAAGCAGATCACATACTTCTGACATATCATCACAAGATCTACATTAGCATTGCAAAATGTAAGGAAGGGAGCACAGTGAGGAAATACTGGACCAAAGCCAGACTGAAAACCAGCTGGGCAAACTCCAAACTCTGCATCTCCGTGTCTGATATCAAAATGCTCTTCAGACCTCCAAATCTGTTCAGGTTTGTTGACTGCAACATACGTCTTTCTCACAGGCTGGTTCCACTCCCTGGTAGCAGCTCTCCTCAGCAGGTATCCCATGGCTCTGGCATCTCTAACATCTTGGGGTCTCCAAGGCAATCCAGGGTTCACCTTCACAGCTTCCTGCAGTAGCCTCTCCCTCTCAGTGTCTGCAGGGACACCCTTGTCATACATTTGGCTTCAGCAACTTTCCTTAATCAGAGGGTGATCTCTCGATTCTAAAGCCAGAGCCACATAGCCAAAGCTGCCAAGGTCTGCTGCTTGCTGGGGCTGGAACATGGCCCCCTTGTTCAATTATATCTTCACCAGATTTCTGGTTTTGATGGTTTTCTTCACTGCCTATCCTTGGCTGTCATGGACCTTATTCTGTAGACTCGGCTGACCTTGAGCTCAGACATCTGCACGCCTCTGTCTCTTAAGCATTGGGGTTAGTCATCCCAAGGCCTCAGTGTGTCTTTGAAGGGCCTTGGCCTGCTCACTTGCTTTCTAGAAACCCACCATTGAGTATGGCAGCTAGACCTCAAGAGCCCTTGAATGTTAGGAGAGATTACCTGATTAAACTCACACTAAAATAAGTGAAGTACAAACTATAGTCACAGCATTTGGAAGGTTGAGGCAGGGGGGTCATGAGTGTGAGGCCAGCCTGGGTCACATATGCATAGACCCTGTC